GTATAAGAAAAACGATTCTGAGCGGAGATGGTATGTCAGTCTATGTATAAGACATATTATATACATATCTATGGTATTAAACAAAAAATTGACCTATAATAGGTACTTATAATAAATTCCAAATTAATCATATCACAATGTCCATTAGGTACTTATAACGCGTTATATATCAACAAAAACCGTGATACTATCATAGATATATAATAGTACACTTTAGAAGTTTCAAGTACCCACGAATAATATTATTCAATCACAACAAAATAACTAAAATAGTTATTCTAGGTTTTTTAATATGTAATTTCGTCCAAATTTGAATTTAAAATGTCTGTAAAAAATAACTGTGTTCATATATTTTTTAGATTTTTTGGTTACAGTATGAACTATTTATGAGAACCTTTGTTTTAAATTTGCAATCCTTAGCTATAAAAACTGAACATTTTATAATTTATTAATTGCAATGATTAATAATTTTCGAGATTTTGATAAATTTTGTTAAAATTTGATCTTTAAATGCTTATAAAAAAAAACTGTGCCTATGTATTTTTAATATTTTTCAACTGCTATTGTAACAATATATCAGGAGCCTTGTATTAAATTTTTACACTTTTTGGCCCAACAGATAAAACTTTATTGATATTTATAGAAAAAAAAACTAAAAAAAATTGAAAGCTGTAAATGTCCATAAACAGCTCAAAAAGAGTCAAAATATTTTCAAAATTGTATGGTGTATAGGAAATGCTAATATAAACATTCAGTGAAATTTTCATGTATCTACAGTTATTTGTTTTTGAATTACAACAAAATAAGGAAATCGCTACATGGAAAATCGAGTGAATATTCAATGTTGTAAAAATTTGAATTTCAAACGCTCATAAAAATTTAATTTGACTTTCTTATAGACATTTTTTTTTTTGATAAAGGTAGATAATCTTATAAGGAATCTTGTATTACATTTTCAAATCTTAGATTAAAAAAGAAAAATTTTTACGAATTCTTAACTCAAAATAATTTGCTAATTTTCGTGATTTTTCAATATTTTGTCAATTTTTGAACTTTAAATGCTTATAAAAAAAAATTGTGACTAAGGATTTTTAATATTTTTCATCTGCCTTTGAAACAATATATTAGGAGCCTTCTATTAAATTTTCAAGCTTTCGCAACCAACAAATAAAATTTTATTGATATTTTTAGAAAAAAAACTAAAAAAAAATGGAAAATGAAAATGTCCCTAAACAGTTCAAAATAAATCAAAATATTTTGAAAATGTTATCGTGTATAGAAAATGCAAATATAAACAACCAGTGAAAATTTCATGTATATACGTTCATTTGTTTCAGAGTTACACCAAAAACCAAAATCGATTTTTTGGAAAACCAATTTTGCGTAAAAATTCCCGTTTTTCCTTAATTTTTATGTTGTTTTTCCCAGCGCTTGTGAAAACTACTGGGAAATTTATACTTTTGACCCCCCAAAGTACCAACTAGATTCACTTTCCTATCAGAAAAGCTACTGATGAAGAAAATCCAAGCACTTTTACTGTCCTAAAACGTGATGACAGACACAAAAATAAAAAAAAAATAAAAAAAAAAAAATAAAAAAAAAAACACACATCATTGTAAAATCAATACATTCATCGTTTCACTCAGAATCTAAAATGTAAAGTACCTATATTTAAAGAAGTATCTTAATATGTTGTTTCAACGAAATACGGTGTACATTTTTTGGGGGCCCCTTAAAAAAACTGATCCATGGGCCTTTGGTATGCCAGTCCGACACTGCGTCGGACCGATAACATATCGTCCGACGTAAAACTCATCTGCCCGAGCGGCACGTCATGTATTATTATATTTTGGTCGCAATATTATAATACATAATTTGTGACATTCTTAAAGTGTTTGTGTTGTGTTTTTTTCTTCACCTCAATCCTAACCAAACACTTCGACCGGACCACGATCAACCTTGAAGCAATCATAGTGTCCGCGTCAACGTGATAATAATATCCGTCGCTAGGGCCCAAGCAATAGTCATACGTTGCTTTAGGAAGGCATATATAGTTTTACAATTTTACAATTTTAAAGAAATCGAAGGCGAAAAGATTGAATAAATATCGGTAAAGGAGCAGCATTGAAATTTAGGGTGGAAAACATATTCTAAAGGCGGGCCTATCAGGGCCTAAAATAAATGAAACTTCGTACTACACTATTTTATAATTTCACATAATTTAATATGAGTTCTCCCTCTCTAAAAATAAAATATAAGTTAAATTTTTTTTTTTTTTATTTGAAAATTTAACATAACACCTCTCACCTGTATAGAATAATTAAAAGTATAACCTAAAATTATATTTAATACTGTATTTTTCCAAGTTAAATATTATTTGTTAAATTATATTTTTCTTTGACTTCTTCAAAAACCCCTTGTTACCATTCCTGTTTTTTTGCATGTGTATGCATTTTAGAATGTCTTTTTTTTTTTGTTTATCCAATTAAAGACAGCTGGTTGAGGATCAAACTCGTCTAAAGCTGACATGTTTATTTTCACATACAGAGAATCTTTCATTACTGTAGGAGATAGAGAAGATCTTGTTGCAGTTTTTTCTAACAACAAAACGATCCATAGCACCGTAGTAGTGTACTAGTATAGTACTATACTAAATAATAATATATTATATTTCGCTAGGTGGACCAGAATCAGAAAACATTAATTAATAATTTTATTTTGCTGATATTTCATCTATCACAAAATAAGTTTTACTACGTATCTATTTATTTATTATTTATCGACGCCTCAGAGGCATTAGTTTAGTTTTAGTACAGATTATAATAATAGAAATTACATAATATTACAAGGTAAGAAAAAAGTACATTGGTGCACGAATAAAGAATAGGCTAAAGAAAATATTAACAAGTACAATTTTTTAGTTTTAGAATTAACGATGGCAAAGAATCGTTAAAAATATCAATATTTGACATATTATTAATAGATCGACAAGCACGATCAAGAGGGGCTGCGTAACCATAGTTAGTGGTGTGAAAATTCGTTTTAAAAGTTTGGGGGTTTCTGGAATAAAAAGAAGGAACGGCTAAAGATAATTTAGCAGTAAATCAGGAGCATCAATATCATTGTTTAATAATTTGTAAATAAAGGTAACATCAAATTCAACACGTCTATCAGTTAGAGATTTAAAAGTATACGGAACGAAATGTGCTCATTTTTATAAATTTATTTTGTACTTTATTTATTCGATTAATATGTAATTTTTGATGGGGTGACCAAATAATATGACCAAATGTATACATAATTGATAATAATATTATAATATTTTATTCTGTGATAATATCTTAGTTAGTTCATGGAATCATACAACCACTTACCACAGAGTAACAATAAAATAATAATATTTATAGCTTATAAGTTATAACATTGATTAAATATACATCATGCTATTATTAGTTTTTTCCAATGGCATTATCAATGCATTTTATCACACACACACACTGTAATATAAATAAATGAATGCAGAGACAAGTATTTGCTTCAAATATAATATTATCTTTTGTTTATTGACAATATTGTTCAATGTAGTTATTAAGTGACAATATTTTCTTTTATATATGATTTTAATTGCATTAAGCAATGTACATTTAAAAATACGTTTAGCAAGGATAAATTTGACAAAATACAAGGTAGTAGTATTGGACTCACGGATACTGCTTGGAAACTGTCACTGTAATGTCCAACTGAGCTGCTTGTTGCGGGTAGTCCGAAATGGTCGTTCACTTAGACGATGTATTAGCAGTTGTGCGAAAGTAAACGGTTAGGTAGGTAAAACTATTGATTACTACCGTATCAATATGTTTACCGTGTGTTTACGTATGAAAATCGACGTTCCAACACTGTGAATCGATCGGAAATATTATCACGGTTTCAACTATGTAACGCTGTTTCTCGATCGGCGGTTCTTTATGCTCGGTCGAGACTGCAACGCAGTTTCTCGATCGGCAGTTCAAACACAATAACGTTTTTCTTGACCGGACTGTCTGTGCTTCCGTTGGTTACGGTAAACACCAGTGTCAAGAAAGGGTAGCGGCGGCGAAAAACAACGTTTGGCAGCGGCGAAATACTAATCGGCGATTCTTGCCCGGTCTGTATGTGCTTTCGTTTGGTAACGATAAACACCAGCGGCAAGAGAGCGCGGCGGCGGAAAACAACGTTCGGCAGCGGCGAAATAAATAAACGACTTTTCTTACCCGGACTGTCTGTGCTTCCGTTTGATAACGGTAAACACCAGCGGTAAGAAAGAGCGGCGGCGGAACGAACGACTTTTCTTACCCGGACTGTCTGTGCTTCCGTTTGATAACGGTAAACACCAGCGGCAAGAAAGTGCGGCGGCGGAATGAAGTAAGTCGCACTGTTTGTGCTTCCGTGAATACGGTAAACACCAGATACGACTACTAGCGGAGAGAGAGTAGTAGTTTTTTTTGCCGGTTCACCGGGGTCTATTTACTACATGTGATGACTACTGCTGGTTTTGAGATCATAGACTTCGGTGGGTAGCATTTTGTTGACCTTTGATGGTTCTACATCTGCGGGTGGTCTCGTGAATCAAAGGTGTGCATCCGGGGACATTTTCTTATTAGTAGTGGGACGAAACTTACTTGTAAGTTTCGTTTTTTCATCCGTAAATGTCGCTGGAACGTGTCGTTCAAAACGGTAGGCGAGTACCGCGACATCTAGTGTGTCTTACTTGCGCCTGCTGCGTACGAAACTGTGTGTGATAGTTCCGGCGTGGTCTGCGGGCGGCGCGTCGATAGCGAGTCCACACGCTATTGTGAGAAAAAAATAACATAGTCCATTCTGTCTCGTTACATAGTCCCCTTTTTTATTTAGCAATTTTTTTTTTTTTTTTTTTTTTTTTTTTTTTTTCTTTGAAAATTGATAAATGAAAATTTTGTAGTAGAGAGACGGGATTTTTAAAATTTGCGAGACTTGGTACGGCTTTAGTGCGTTGAGTGGTGTGGTCGTCTTTGACGACGGATGTCACGTCTGTTCTGCTTGTATTGTTCCTTTTTCCGTTGATTATTGCTCATGGGTTTGTTACTGTCGTGTGGGTCGGTCTTATTTGCCTCCACAACTGGTGTTGCAATCAAGATCTGCTTGGCACTGGTAGATGGACCGGACTTGTCTATTTCTACAGCTGGCGTTGCATTTAGGATCGGCTTGGCCCGAACTGACGTAGGTATAGTGAATGTGGGCTCGAGGGTGTACTGTGTGAGTTTGGCGGCACTCTCTCTCTCATATTTGGCCTGGGCTTTCTTCATAGCAATTGGTGAGGTGGTTTGTTCGATCTGCTGGATAGATATTTCCCTCTGGTACTCACTATCCAGAGACAAATATTCGCTGCCGAACAACTCGATGAATTCCATGTCATCATAGTCTTCTGACAGCAAATTAAATGATTGCGGTTCCATGACTTCTGTTTTATATCCTAGTAGGAATAAGTCACGGTCACAATCTAATTATAATATGGTTTTAATGGGATAGAGAGGATGATTGACCACAGGATTTCCCTGGGTCAGGAGGAAAACACAAGTCGTCATCTTTCTTGGATGCTTCATGGTAGAGCTTGACGTTTTTAACATTGCATCGTATCACTTGTCTGGCGACGTCTTCCACCAATATTGTGTTGTTGTTGCCCATTTCTATAACTGTATATGGTCCACGGTAGAGTAAGAAAAACTTGTGGATTTCACTGTCTTCTGCTGAAGATAATTTGTGCTCCTTAATGAGGACTTGTTGGCCGGGTTGGTATCGTGGGAATTTTTTGTTTTGATCTTTTATACGATTCCTTTCCGCTGCTTTGGTCCTTAGTTTTTTTCTTACGATTTCGATGATCTCTTCTTGGTTCTGTTCAGATTCACATTCTGGAAACGGAATCGGTGGTACTATGTTGTTTGGTTCTTTTCCATAGAGTATTTGATATGGAGTATATCCGGTGGAACTGTGGTGTGAGTGGTTGATCCAATACTCGATGTTGGGTATCCACTTCACCCAATTGGTATGTTTGGCGTGACAGTAAGTTCGTAGCATTCGACCTATTTCGCGATTCGCCCTCTCCACAGGGTTACTCTCCGGGTGATAGGTGGTGGTGTGTTTTATCTGGACTCCTAGCCCAGCCAGTTGCTTGAACCACTGCTTGCTGTGGAACTGAGTTCCGTTATCCGTCAACAGTTGTTCGATTTTTCCTACATTAGGTATGTAATCGTCCATCAGTTTCTTCAGTATGGTTGTCGAGGTTGCTTTTTTGATAGGATATAGTTTTATGTATTTTGAGAAGACGTCGAGCACCGCGAGAATGTATTTGGCACTCCGCTGTCCCCTCGGCAATGGTCCCATTAAGTCGAGTGATACTATTTGCAGCGGTCTCTCGGGTAGGATGCTGATGGTTGGTCCCCTGGCACTTTGATTACTGCATTTTGCCTCTTGACACACATCGCATGCTTTGACTGTTCTTTTATCCGTTTTGATCGCCTTTGACATCGGGATTGGGTATGGCTTTTGATAGATAGGTTCCCCAGGAGTAACTCTGATCTGACAATCGAATTGCTTGATTTTCCCCGGGCTGTCGGAAAAAATATGCTGGTATTTTTTAATGACTGCGTTAAATTGTTCTTGTTCTTCATGGCTGATGTCGACTGTGTCGTCCATCTCGTCATGATCTATTAGAGTTATTTCTCGTAGGTTGCTGTCCATTGTTATTGGTTTAGGCAGTTTCTTGGAGAATGGTATTGAGTATGCTTTGTTATTTACTTCAAATTGTATGGTGTGGTTGCGGAAGTTTATTTGAGCGTTGTGTTGGTGGAGTATGTCTGCCCCGATAATGCCCTTTTCATTGAGTCCGTCTACTTGTATGAAGTTGGCGTGGAACACCGCGTCATTAAGTTGACACTTACAGAATACTTGTTTGGAAATTTTGCAGATTTGTTTCCCGACTGCGTTGCTTATCCGTACTCCACTGATAGGTAATTGTGGAATAGTAGGATCCTTTTTTACTATGACGTCGACAATTTCTTTGGTGAGAACACTAATAGTAGCACCTGTGTCTACCAGTAGTTCCACCTCTTCTCCTTCAACCCAACATTGAATGTATGGACTGAACGACTCTTCTTTATCTTGTATCAAATTGATAGAATGTGACTCGCCCGGGTGATTTTCACTGATATTATTGGTAGTCACCTGATTTATTTGTTGTGTTGTGTCACGAGACTGCGGTGGCTGTGGTTGTTGTGACGGCTGTTCGTCCCTGTTGTTCCACCTGCTGTTCCGTGGCTGATTGTTGTTACGTTGTTGTGTTCTGTGACTCCAATCATTTTGTGGAACTCTGTGGCTCCAATTGTTATTGTTTTGATTGTTGTTTTGGTTGTTGTTTTGATTGTTGTTTTTTGTAGAATTATTAGAATTGTTCTCTGGAGGTTGATCACCTTGTCCTTCTTCCCCAAGTATTTTCATTGCTGCGAGTATGGTACAATCGGGTAATGAGATAAGTATGGCACGGAGGTAGCCTGGATAGTGCTTGGCGATGTGTTTGACTATTTCTTGTTCGGACAATCGCGGCACTTCCAGATGTCTTAATTTTGTTGCCCATGTAGCAAAATGTTCACGGTAATTTGTGTTGGCTGGTACCTGCTTAGTGCTTAAGCATTGACTCCAAACTTGGATTTGGATTTCTCGAGACCAAAACTCATCAATAAATGCTTTTTTAAAGTCATCATAGCTGGATAGTTGAAACCTTATCGTCGAGAACCAACTGAAAGCAGCTGCTTTTAAACAATCACCAACAATAATAATTTTTTCACCAATATATGATTGCTTAACAGCGAAGTACTCCTCGAGTCGATATAAAAAGTCTTTTGGATGTACATCACGGTTACTTCCAAAAAATGTGGGGCGTGAGATTTCAGTATTGTGTCCCATTTCCGTTTTTTGGTCGTGTAGCTGTTGTCGGCTAATACGATCACTTTTAATTTTAATAGCGTTTAGCTCCTGTTCAATGTCTTTGTATTTTTCTTCGATTTCGTTAATTTTCTTATTATTTTCATTTTCTAAGTTTTTGTATTTTTCGTCCATATTATTACATTTTTCTTCAAGTTTATTTATTTTTTGTAATAATTGGTCGACTAGGTATTTACTATTTTGCTCCACTTCACGCTGGAACGCGTGGAACGTTTCTTCAGTTATGTTTTTCTTCGGTGCCATGTTCACGATGTAGTTTTCTTCTTTGCAAATCGACGTAGAAAATGACGTAGAAAATTTTCACTTTTAATCTTGGGGATCGAAGTAGAATTTTCTTCTCTATCGAGCCTCGTAGTTGGGCGCCAATGTAATATAAATAAATGAATGCAGAGACAAGTATTTGCTTCAAATATAATATTATCTTTTGTTTATTGACAATATTGTTCAATGTAGTTATTAAGTGACAATATTTTCTTTTATATATGATTTTAATTGCATTAAGCAATGTACATTTAAAAATACGTTTAGCAAGGATAAATTTGACAAAATACAAGGTAGTAGTATTGGACTCACGGATACTGCTTGGAAACTGTCACTGTAATGTCCAACTGAGCTGCTTGTTGCGGGTAGTCCGAAATGGTCGTTCACTTAGACGATGTATTAGCAGTTGTGCGAAAGTAAACGGTTAGGTAGGTAAAACTATTGATTACTACCGTATCAATATGTTTACCGTGTGTTTACGTATGAAAATCGACGTTCCAACACTGTGAATCGATCGGAAATATTATCACGGTTTCAACTATGTAACGCTGTTTCTCGATCGGCGGTTCTTTATGCTCGGTCGAGACTGCAACGCAGTTTCTCGATCGGCAGTTCAAACACAATAACGTTTTTCTTGACCGGACTGTCTGTGCTTCCGTTGGTTACGGTAAACACCAGTGTCAAGAAAGGGTAGCGGCGGCGAAAAACAACGTTTGGCAGCGGCGAAATACTAATCGGCGATTCTTGCCCGGTCTGTATGTGCTTTCGTTTGGTAACGATAAACACCAGCGGCAAGAGAGCGCGGCGGCGGAAAACAACGTTCGGCAGCGGCGAAATAAATAAACGACTTTTCTTACCCGGACTGTCTGTGCTTCCGTTTGATAACGGTAAACACCAGCGGTAAGAAAGAGCGGCGGCGGAACGAACGACTTTTCTTACCCGGACTGTCTGTGCTTCCGTTTGATAACGGTAAACACCAGCGGTAAGAAAGAGCGGCGGCGGAAAACAACGTTCGGCAGCGGCGAAATAAATAAACGACTTTTCTTACCCGGACTGTCTGTGCTTCCGTTTGATAACGGTAAACACCAGCGGTAAGAAAGAGCGGCGGCGGAACGAACGACTTTTCTTACCCGGACTGTCTGTGCTTCCGTTTGATAACGGTAAACACCAGCGGCAAGAAAGTGCGGCGGCGGAATGAAGTAAGTCGCACTGTTTGTGCTTCCGTGAATACGGTAAACACCAGATACGACTACTAGCGGAGAGAGAGTAGTAGTTTTTTTTGCCGGTTCACCGGGGTCTATTTACTACATGTGATGACTACTGCTGGTTTTGAGATCATAGACTTCGGTGGGTAGCATTTTGTTGACCTTTGATGGTTCTACATCTGCGGGTGGTCTCGTGAATCAAAGGTGTGCATCCGGGGACATTTTCTTATTAGTAGTGGGACGAAACTTACTTGTAAGTTTCGTTTTTTCATCCGTAAATGTCGCTGGAACGTGTCGTTCAAAACGGTAGGCGAGTACCGCGACATCTAGTGTGTCTTACTTGCGCCTGCTGCGTACGAAACTGTGTGTGATAGTTCCGGCGTGGTCTGCGGGCGGCGCGTCGATAGCGAGTCCACACGCTATTGTGAGAAAAAAATAACATAGTCCATTCTGTCTCGTTACAACACACACATTTAATTTATCAGTTAATATAACCATAGATTAAAATTCAAATTCAAAACTAAAAAAAAAATAAAAGTTAATAAAAACCAGTCACAAAGTCTAAATATAACACTAAAATAATCAACACACATTTTCATTTTGTACTGCACCATTCCGATTTCGTACTGCACTAACAGTGTCGTACTGCACACTATTTTAGGCCGTGGGGCCTATAATAAAATATTGAATATAATTATTATTATTATTATTATTATTATGCGCTGTATAGTTCACCTCACATTGCAGTTAATATCAAACTCACAATTGTGTATGGATATTATGTTGCATATGCGTTTGTGGTGTACGGTATTATTTTCGCACACGCTTATCGCCGTTCGTATGCGATGAGGTTGAAAAGCGACTTTGCTCGAGCTTTGCGGCCAACAACCATTGTTGTGTATACAGAGCCGTTCGCCACGTTTGCCAAGCTCGAAAGTATACTTATTGTGCTGCTCGGTAATTGTAGTATTAAAACTGTCCATTGTTGTTGC